ATAAAATGTAAAAAAATTAATTATTGAGATATAGCTATAGACCTAACGTATAACTATTATTTAAAAAAAAATCAACTAAAAATATTAACTGGATCAAAAGTTATTTAAGTTGTCAGTGAGTGGTGGGCCACCTGTATAATCTTGAAATATAGATTATGATTTTATATCATAAAAATAAAATAAAGTAATATATTCAATATTTCTAGTACCTTTTAAATGGTATATTTTTTGAGTGTGCTGCTAATTATGAATATAATCCATCAGATTTATTTGAGGACAGCCTCACATATTTAATGAGATATGTTGCTTTTAAATATATATATATATATGAAATATCAAAATTTATGTTAAACACATAACGTTAAGAGGAAAAAAACAATATTACCAATGATTTAAGTGTTAAGAATTCCAAAAAAAATATGGATAGATTGTCTAAAGTGACAAATATGACACGAGTATATTTAAACAGATCCAGTAACTAATATTTCTGCTCATTAAATAATTTTTTACTTAAACTTCAGCCTTTAACACACAATTATAAAACAGAAAAATTGTGATTTATTATAATAATATAAATTTAAATGTCTACAGACATCCAGGCGTCAGAACGATTCAACATGATCCGTACATAGTGCTCACATAAGCCATATTTACATGTTCATTAACAGAACAAATTTGCTGAGATACCAAATATTAATTGAATAAATAAACTTTAGACATAATGATTAATAATAAATTTAAGAATATATCAACAAGATAAAAAAAAACAGAATAAAGTAGGAGGGTAACATGGGCATGACAGATCTAACGCATTGGTCAGGGTAAAATGGATATGTCACCAACGTCAATGGGTATCCTCTAAATAAATGTAGGGGATCCATTGAGATGATCACCATGTCCACCCTAACCCAGGGTCGCATTTAGGAATTTTGCCGCCCCCCAAAAAGTGTTGGATTGGGTTTTTTAGTTGGCGTATTTAATAATTCCGAATATTCAATTAATTGATTTTCATTTGCCATGGTTTCAAAAGTACTATGTAGAGGATGTTCACTAAAAAATTATAAAATTGTTTATTTATAAAAAACTGAATTAACGCAGATGAGATAACATATGCTTCAAGCATTCTTTTTGATTTGTACGCCTTACCTTGGTGCAATAGAAGACGTATTTATTAATTGTTTTTCCGAATTTTCAATTATTTGATTTTCATTTGCTAGGGCTTCAAGAGGACTCTGAAGATTAGGCTCATTAAACAAAATATAAAATTTTTCATTTATGTAAAACTGAAATAACGTACAAAAGTTAACATTTGATTTTTAAATTACTTTTTATCACTAGACTCATTTGAAATCTGTTCAGCTGTAGTCTCTATTTCACTTGTCGAATTGGAGATTGATGGTCGTTGATTGCCAAAAAATGAAGTTAATTTTGCGGTTTGAGAAATGACTTTTTGTTCTTTTTCTAATTTTAATTTAGCAACTTTTTTATAAGCACTTCCACTTAAACGTTTTCTGCCATCACTCATTTTAATACGTTAATAAATAATAAAATATACAAATAAAAAAAACACCTAAACACATTAAGTCGGTCACTTGTAGTCGAGTACTAAACACAATGAGCTGTCTGTACACAACACATTATTAGTGTGACATTATTAGATAGTAATTTTGTGAAAAATGAGACAAATTATTGTGTTTTAACTTTCTTAGTATTCCAATAATAATCGACTATCAACGGCCGACGACATCCACAAAACCAATTTAAGGGAGAAAATATCAATACTTTGTTAAAATTAGATAAAAACATGAATCAAATAAATTGCCGCCTACTTTATTTATAGTGCTGTTGATTATAAAAATNAATACAATGGCAGATATATCATATTATTGTTGAGATGTCCAAGAGATGTAGAAGTTTTTGATGCCATTATGATGGCCAAGCCAAATTGAAAAACCTACCCCTCCATAACGGATTCATAACACAGACGTCAAAAAAAAAAAATTAATGAAACGATGATGATGATGATCCAAGATGAAGAAGAGTGATAATGGCGGTGATTCTTTTTTGTTGAACATAACCATACTTTCCCAAACCGGTTCGATAACACATGGGAAAGGGAAGGTGCCAGTGGTGACCATTATAATATAGACGAGGATCGCAGGTAAAATGATTTTTATAATAAATAATCATGTATGTATATGTAACACTGAACCTACAGATGTACGACGCGCACTGTTTGAATATAGTTACCTGTGACCTTAGACTCATGATAATTTTATTACGTCACAAACTAAAAACTATTAAAAATACTTAACTCAAAAAACCACAAAAAAATTATCTAAAAATACGTATTACGGGAATAGTGTTACAAATATTAACGCTAAACAGATACTGACATTTACATTTCTTGATATTCGAGCGTAAGATACCACTGCTTATTGCCTCAGTGTACTAATAAGCATGCTTAACTGTTCGTTGAACTTTATACCTTAACAAAGAGGAAAATTAGTTAATAACATTTTATATCTATTTATCTTTATTGTTCTGAACCCTGAACCCAACCCAACCTTTTAATTAAAAATCTGATTAACTTAATTTTTGGTTCATTACCTACATTTATTTATTATTGTTCTTATTTAAAATACACTGTGTAAGAACTGAACCTTTGTTATTTATTATATTAAGAATATACTCTATCATTTATTGTTACATAGCCATTTTACTCAACCAATTAGCGTACTGTAAGAACATTTATTACTATGTTCTTACCACTTATATTACACACGTTTTATTTCTATTTATTTAATTCGTAATATATATTAATTAGCATAGAGGGAGATGCTGATGTGACAATTCTACTCGTCTGTAGTCCGGAGCTACTGACGTCGAACTAACAAAGGGCAGTTGTGTTTGAGTGGCCGTTATAGACATAGTTTTCAATATTATTACTTTCATCTTATTTATATTATTTATAACTTAACTTGTTTTATTCAACGACCCGTCTATCGCCAATTGTCATCATAGCCAACCAACTCCGTCTCACTTGGATATCCCTACTAACCAACTGTACTAGGATTCAGGTCAGACGTATTGTACATTACATATAACTTATATTTACTAAACATCTAAAATATAACTTTACTTTGTCGTTGACATAAAACAATAGTCTAATTTTATTTAATAATCTATCCTCTGTAACTAAGGTACACGATTGCCTGTATCTCCTTCAGGCAATTAAAACTCATTTAAGGAGATAGGGACGATATTTGGGCAGACGTCGGGTAGCTTCCGATTCTTGGTTTTGACCAAGATCCTCAACTATTAAACAAGCCCCTAACAGTACCCTCCCAATTCGGAGTTCTTGCGTTTTGGTCAGACAATATTTTTTCTTCTCCTACATACTTCCTACTTAAATGTATGTAAAATTTACTACAAATGTCATATAGTAATTTATATTGATATTATAATTTTTCCACTATTATAGTTTATATTCATGACTCAAAACATAAAGATTACACTATAAGTGAATACTTTCGTTTTTTACTCGTGTCTGCTTAATAATGAGACAAAAGAAAATTATTTACATCTATTTGAACTTGTTATGCCACCGACTCGAAAACACCTCTTGGTCGGGGCATTCAGTATTTTCGCCTGTTATGGACACCACTTGACTCTTAATTAACTAAAATTTAATGAAAATACTCTTTGACAGAACAAATGGAAATTTTATTATTCCTAAGCACAATATTATATAAATTAATATACCATTACCACACAATTATATATTTAAATTTTTTATATGCAACCTAGTTAATTCATTTATTCCGTCTTCACACAAGGACCAGAAACGATCTCCACAACATTAACCAGCGGATGGGCATCCAAAAATTTCTCTTTGCTATCGAATTGGCTATCACGGAACTTAGCTGTGGGCTCTCAAGTTGAGNGTTCTCCACAACACGAACCAGCGGATGGGCATCCAAAAATTTCTCTTTGCTATCGAATTGGCTATCACGGAACTTAGCTGTGGGCTCTCAAGTTGAGGCATTCCACTGTCTGTTATAGGATCGTTTTAATAGCATAAGCGTCAAACACAGACTCGCCGTACACACTCAATGCCCAACAACACTCGATCGCGTGAATCGGTGGTACGCAAGTGGTGCTATATCCGATCGGCGGCCGAACAGAACTGTTATTATTACTAGAGGACATTCTCAAAAAAAAAAAAAAATTAGTCTCCAGGGTCAAGATTTTAAATCATAGTCAAACATTTAGTGTTTATCAATTTACTCTAATAATTAGTGAATTGGTTATTCTACTAAAAAATAGTACGGTATAAGTATTTATTTTATTCAGTTATTAAAATATAATTTAATATATAATAACTTTTTTAACTTTTTTCTCCAAATATTTATATACTACATAAAAAATCAATATTTTATTGTTTACGTTGAAAAGGGGCAATATAACTGTAATAGTTACGCAATGTTGAGAAAACATTTATCATTATCTAAATTTTTAAATGTAATATCTTCTATATTATCCTATATAAACCATGTCAAAAACTTGCATATTTACTTCCAGCACCGGAAATCAGTCGAAACTATTAGGAAAATGTTTAAAAAGATAAATTCATAATTATGTAGGTACTACGAAATTAATAAATATACAAGCAATAAAATTATAGAAAAATTTTTGCATTATTTACGAATAACATCCTTAATAAATTGTCAATTATTTTTAAAGTATATTTCAGAATTTTTTTTTATACTCATTGAAACTTACCAATATAGTTATTAATATCATAGCAAATTGCATAATTTATAACATTGGTAAAACTGATTGTTTTTTTGCTTAATTTTATGTAAATGTTTATATTTGCCTATGAATATGATTTAAATTAAAATTAATGTAAATTAATAGTTCTATATCAATCTAATAGTACTATGAATATTAATCTACATTAATATTCATAGTAATGCTGAAAATCAGAAAAAGAAGCATAACCCTATTTTTGACAACCTATATATTTTGATCAGAGATGCGGTGTTCTTTGGTAAAATTAGCAAGGTTTGATATCATTGTTTTGATTTCAGCCTATTATAAGTTTTAGTTTTCTTTACTATAGATAATTCTCATCAAGACGAACAATTAAACATCATATTCCAGTGATAAAGAAATTTAAAAAAAATTGAATGAGTACAAAATGATTGGTAATATATTTAACATATTTATTAATATTTATCGCTAGGTAATATATTTTTATCGAATAATAAAACATTTAAAATTAAAGAACCCCCCTTTTTAATAAATGAAAATAAAAATTTTCTTTAAAAAATAATATACTTAATATATGTTTTTTAAAAATTTCTGTAAATATTTTAGACCTAAAATAATTGCTTATTTTTTAAATGTCCATTTACTTGAAAAATATTTATATATACTAATATAATATTAAATTATAAGCACAGAAGGGACTTAAGGAATTTTAAAGATTTACAAACATTTGTTATACTGAATAAAGTTCATTATTATTTATTACAGTATGAAAGCTATGCACTAATATTTTATTTAAATGCTAAAAATCAAGTTACACACAATATAACTATTATATGAATTCGAAACTTTGAAGATTTTTTTTGGGAATGTGTTTTTTTTTGAGTGGATATTATTGATGATATAAACTATTTGTCATCATTTTTTAAAAACAGTTATTAAGAAATTAATTATTTTCATTATATTACATATATTTAAGCAATGTAAATTTTAATTAAAAATTACAGAGTTNTATTACATATATTTAAGCAATGTAAATTTTAATTAAAAATTACAGAGTTTGAAATTTAATATTGAATTGCATAACTTTACGAATACATGTTCAAAATTTAAATAATTATTTAATAGAATAATATTTTTTGTTTATCAAGTTTATATGTAATATATATTTAAAAGATTTAAATTTCAATACAAGTATACCACACATGTACCTGTTCTATATTAAAAAAGTGAAGCATAAATATGTTTTCTAATGCATTATATGATTTGTAGGCTTATAAATAGGTATTATACTATGTATTATTAAAAGAAAAATCAATGTACTTATTTTTCTTTGAACTTCAAAATAAATAATTTTTTTCTCGCTAGGAAAAATAATTATTTTGTAAAAGTTTAAAATTTGAGTTCCAAAAAAACTATACCTAATTTCAATCGTAATTATTACCTTAACTAGAAAATGTTTATATTTAATGAATTTATATAGGATAAACTTAGCCTTAGATAATAATCAAGACAAAAGTAATCAGAATATATATTAGCTTCGATGCGAAGTTGAGAAGGTATTAATTTTACTATGATGGTTTATTTTTTATTTTTTTGTGTTTGTTAATACTTTTTCTTAGCTCTCACCAAACCGATTTATTTCAATGATACGTCAAAAGATTAAAAATTGTATCTAGTTAAAGACATTGTCCTTGAAAATTGAAAAATTTCCCTCGTTTTCTGTAAATAGCGGAAATTCCCCACAAAATTACGACTTTTCAAATCTGTAAATTTTGACATTTTTTTCTTTTTTTTTTTTTAATTGCTATTTTTTTTGAAAAATGAACGAATTGACATAATTTATTATATATTAAAACCTTAGATATTTCCATTTCATTTGATATAATTTTTTTGAAAATCTAACATCCAATCTAACAAATCCATTCCGGTTCTTTCTTAGATTAACTTCATTTTTATCATTTTATTTATATGTCATCATTAAGATATTGAGGTCAGAGTCACTATCTGCACTCAGATATGCTATTGATTTCAATTCTTGGTTTCGGTATCTCGACATTACTAATATATAGTCTATTTGGTTTCTATACAGGTCTCCTGGACTTAACCATGTGTACTGTTTTTTTTTTGGGCACCTTATTCTATGTGCTTGTTATTTCATATTTCTCTACTTTACAAAAATCTATTAGTCTCTGCCCTCTATCGTTTCTCATTCCTAGTTCATATTATCCCACAAATTTATCATCTCTGCCTTCTCCAACAATAGCGTTCCAGTCTCCCATTATTATTACATTGTCTTCTGCCTTCGTTGCCTTAAGTGCTTCTTCTATTATCTCATAAGTGTCTTCTGTCTCTGCATCGCTAAAGTAGACATGTATACCTGAATTAGCACTAAGTCGGCCGTTTTTTTTGCAAACCTGGCCATAATTACTCTTGTGTATAAAGTTTTGTTAGAGTGAGGGATTTTCCATCCTATTTATCCATTATTATGGCCCCTCCTTCTTGTCCTTTTTTTTCCAGAGTGTGCTATCTATACGTTGTCACTTTTTATTTCTCTTTCCTCTTTCCATCTAGTTTCACTTATTTCTAGTATACTTATTTTTAGCCGATGCATTTCTAACTTTAAATTTTCTAGCTTTCCAATTTTTTTCATTGTTTTCACATTCCAAATCACAATTCTAAAACAAGGATTTCGCTTGATAACGACCTGAGAAGCCTCGTTTATTCTCCAGCCGAGCCCAATGCGCTCCAATGCGACGTATTAATTGATTTTAGGGTTTTTTGAAGAAATTTTTCATAGGTAGTAAGTTTGCAAGATTTGGTCTTGGACTTTATTAAAGTGGTTTCCCGTTGCCTTCCACATCGCAGTATAATAACCGTTTTCGTGGTCTCCATTCACGCCTATTACTACTACCTGCCTATAGCTGTACTTGCTTAAGAAGCAACCACCTATAGCCAGTACTGAAGGCGCTGCCCCCCACCTTCAGGTCCATTTTTTTCGTCTTTTACGACAGGTATGGACTACTACTGGTGTAATTTGATTCCCATTTACAGGGGTAATTTCAATTTTACATTAATATATTTTTATATCTATTTCACAGACTTATGATACATTTAATAACAGTTTGAGAAAATGATCTAATTTATAATATAAATCCAAAATATAATTAATTATGAGAATATAGAAATTAATATTATTTATTTATTTATTTCGAATTTCAATGTTACAGATTTCATAATGTCCTGTTATAATACTAAGAGTAATTCAAGCGAATTTTCAAACCATTCAAATAGTCTTTCAAGTTATTCTATTGACAAAGTCGTTGAAGTTTTAAATAAAGAATTTGAATTTGGTAAATACTTACTTGCTATAACATTTATTATAAAAAATGTTTTTATTTTAAGTTCAATACTTTTTGACTGGTATTGATTATTATATTTACGCTCAATATTGAAATATTATTCGTAAGTAATCTAGTAATATTTTTTGGATATTAAAATACTTCGAAATGTATTTTGAACCAAACATTGCTCAAACTATTATTCAATCTGTTGAATATTTTAATGTCAATTAATAATTTTACAAGGTAGTTTGATTGTTATAATTACATTAATTATATTAATTTAATTTTAATAAGTATTTTGAAAATTTTCGATTAGCTAAAAATTTTTAATTCCAAAACTCTCCATATTATAGTTTATACATTTAGTATATGATGGATTTAGATGAGTTTATGAATCATGTAGTACATGATTATACATGTAGTATATAATATATACTACATGTATAGTTATCATTATTTAGTAAATTAATTATGTGCCTTATGAAAGCTGGGAAGTCGCAAAAATGTTTGGAATTATTGGTGATATGTGTTTATAAGGTATAGTCAACTAAAATAAACATTTATTACAAAAAGTTCTTTAACTGTTCAACTTTTATACAACAAAATTTGTATTGAAACCTTATAATTTTACAATAACTTAAAAACGATTTATATTTTTAATTTAATCTTAGATTTACTACTCGTCTTAGTGTATTTTTCTTATTATAATTTTTCTTATCGTCATAATTATTCATTTAATATTGAAATATCAATTTTTTCATGTCAACAGCGCTAATGAAAGATGTAAAACAGCTAAATTAATTAATTATTAAATGTTATTCTTAAATTAGCAATCGAATTGAAGTATATATTATAACAATCACAATAAGTAAGTGGTGGTAAATAAACAGCATTAACGACATTAATTTTTATTCTTACACATACATTCTGAAATCAATTTTTTACGATAAAACAAGACTAAAAGACGTTATTTTATAAGCTTTGTATAATTTTATAAATATACTATTTGTAAATTTTATTTGATGAAATATATTTATATATATATAAGATGAAATTTTATACATGGATTAAGGTATTGAAAATATTTCCCTCTAAATTACGCTTTTTTAAATGGTGGTGTAAGCATATACGCATACTAAATACTTTTTAAATAAAGTAGTTGACGCCGGTTTTTCTTATTAACAAAGATGGCAGAAACCCGTTTTTTAGTTTTCACTATAGTTATAATATATAAGTTACAATACAAATATAAATATGATATATGTATAAATATATATAATATATGGGCGTGTGATAAACAGCTGAATACAGCGCGTGTTGTAATTAAGAAAAGAAACAAAAAACTATTATTTATTATAAAATATTTAAAGTAACCAGGAATGCTAAGGCGTAACATGTTTGGAAAGTAAAATATCCGACTCTCAGTCGGCCAGACATCTAAGTACTCGCAACATTCGAGTTGATCGTCGGAACGAAACAGAACGCATCAGCAATACACAGTCGGCGGCGGTCTTGTCACGGTGTCAAGAGCGGCAAAATGTACGAGATTACCATCGATCGTCATATTAAGAAATGGACGGCTGATATCGAGAGGGACACGAATGAGCGTCCGCCTAAAGCAGTGCCATGTCAAAATGATTCGATCAAAAAGTAGTATGTCATATTAAGCAGATCTTCTCTACTTAAAGTACTTACCTTAAGAATTTGTTCAAGAAAAATTTATTTAAATTGTGCTAGAGTGCATTTGTTTATACATATATGTAAAATGTATGTAATTGAAATGTTTATGCATGTATCCACGCTTTTAGTTCTGAGCTGACGTTTCCAACTCGTAGCAGAGTCGATTTTCAGAGCGATAGTTATAAGATCGTGGTTGTAACTATACTACTACGGATATATTCGCGAACATTTCAAGCAACACGACAATTCACAAAAGCTTTAATATATTAATGAGATGTATGTGCCGTAGTAATATAAATATTGTTCGATACATTTTTATTTACGTGTGTTATGATAATTATTTAAGTATTAAAGTGACCTGAAAAAATTGACTCGGAATATCTTGATTCATTAATTTTTTTCTTTCATTACTCGAAAAAATGATGTAGAAATTGTGTTATAGCTGATACAAATACATTTAGAATCTCAAAAATCGATAATAGAGCACTACATTATCTATGAATGGTATACCAAAGGCTCATCAGAGTCGGTTCTTTGGTACATATTACCAAAGCAAGACTCGTTCTCAATCAAATTATGTAGGCAACTAATCATTAGATAACGTATTTGTATTTTTTATATTTTATGTATTGATTCAAATGCAGTAGATTTAAAATTTGTAGAAAGTTAAAAAATGAATAAATGAAACAAACTTAATAAAAAAAAAGAAGATAATAAAAGCCATAAAGTTATTAAAGTTTATACAGACATAATTAATTAAATTTCAAAAAATATAAATAATAACTTATGCTTATTCTCTTATAATGTACAAATGAATTTTTTTTGAAAAAAAAAATAGTTATTACGATAATACTGGTTTTATTTTTTTAGTTGCATAAATAAATAAGTAAGTCTTAATCGATATTTTCAAATATCACTTTTAGACATAGAAGCTGATTCGTGGATGCTAATGAAAACGCCGTGGGCTGTATTAGGTATAATAGGAGTATATTCATTATTTGTGTTGAAAATTGGCCCTCAACTGATGGAAAAACGAAAACCATTTAATTTGAAGCACATTATGATGGCCTACAATATTTTACAGTTGTTGTTCAACGGGTATATGCTATCACGTGTAAGTTTAGTCTACCTTTAATGTAAACTAATTAAAATAATTTCAACAATAGCGTATATAGAAATTTTGAAGGGGGTACAAATATTTTATAGAACGTAATGTTAGGAAGCTTCACTCCTCCACTAATCCTACTATTTTTGTGATATTATGTCGATGGGAGATCAAACCCCAAGGACACCTCAGTAAGTACGCCGCTGAATCCTACAATTTAAATAAACGTATAGATATTTTGAATATTTGACTATTGATATTTTTCATATCATAAATATTTATTATATAGCAATATTTGTAGAGGTCAAGTTTGGATGATTTAATCCCTCGTCGAATTTATTAATAAAAAAGATAGTTTAAGTACAATATTTAATTGTAATTTTGTTAAAGATAATACCGCTAGTTATAATCATAAAATACAAAATTAAACTACTAACAAGTTTCTAAAGTTTAATAAAAAAACAATTTTTTTTTTTTGTTAATAATACAGTAAACTTAGTTGCTACTAAAACAAAGTTGTTAATAATTTTTTTAATAGTTAAACAGATATACTAAAAATCATATACTTAAGAAATAAAAAAAAAATATATTTTTGACTGACTAAATGGTTTATGACAAATAAATCATTCTGTATACTTAGAAATTATAGAATAATTATTTATTCAAAAAGTAATATTATAAAACTGGTTATGAAATTCGATCATATATCTTAAAAAAACCTAATTTTTTTCTAAAAATAAATTGTCCATGTGAATATAGATCTGGCTGTTCTATATGTTTTATATTCTCTTGTACAATTTGAATACAAAAAGAACGGACTTAAAAACAATTAACACTTTCACAGTTTTTATTTTTCTCAAATAAGTTATATAATTTGCATCCATAAAAAAAAAAAATGTATTTTATATATTACGAGATTTATTGTAAAACCGATATTTTTACAGTATTTTCAACCTGGATTAATCAGTAGTCTAGTGAAACATGGCTGTAGCTTAGATGCAACGGACCTTAATGAAAAACATAATTTACGTAAAATCGTAAGTTTCAATAAACATTTAAATAAAATAATAAATGATTATTTTTCAATTATTTTACTATAATAAATAAAATCCAAAAACTTTCTTTTAGACAAATGAAATGATATGGCTTTACTTAATCAACAAAATTTGTGATCTAATGGATACAGTAAGTACACATTAGTATATTATTTATAATGATAGGTTTATCATAAATATAAAAACTTGATGTAGTAACTTGAAATAGATTCACTATTAAAAATATCTAATCCATTCCATTATACAAAATAAAAAGAGTTAATTGACATTTTAATTTTGAATTATTAGGTACTGAGGTTCTAATGTAAAATATTTCAATGAAGTTTTTAAAAAATATTTAATTACTTTTTTTTTATGAAGTAAATTATTTATAAATAAATTCTGTATATAGAATCAAACTGTTTTTAATAACTTTTATTAATAATAAAACATCATTTTTATGAACTAAAATATATGACATCGATATTCGCAAGTAAACAGAAGTGTTATTATCGGTGGTTGTAAGGCGCATTGTTGTGAATTTATAAATACACCAACTGATAATACAGAAAGTATATCTAATAAAAGTAATAATTAATAATAAACAATCTGTGACTGTGTCAACGACGTCATAAAACGTCCAATAAACCAATAAACCCAACCAATAAATTTAATCTGACAGTGATTAAAATCACTATCATAAAAAACTCATCGATGCAAATCTTTAGATAGTGTTTAATTAAAAAAAAATTGAGGATTATTCCAAAAGCTACACGGTATGCTATTTCTTTATTTATATCCTGATTAAGATAAGGTATGTCGAATGAAAGTTGTTTATAAATAATACTTCTCATGAAAAAATTGTATTGATCCATACATNAATAAGTTATAGCATTATAAAGTTAAATATTATATAAATAATAAAATCGAGAATTTTCACACGAAAATAGTATTCGGTAGCCGTTTTCACCATGAAGACAAGNTAAATAATACTTCTCATGAAAAAATTGTATTGATCCATACATTTTTTTTAAAGAGTTATAGCATTTTAATGTGAAAAATGTAAAATATAAAATCAAAAATTTTCACACAAAAATAGCATTTGGTACAAAGACAAGTTCAGAGGTCCAATTTTTTTTTACCATGATAAAGTGTATTACATTAGCTTTAATTTAAGATATCTATAAAAGTTTCAGACTTTCCGGAACACTTTCAAAAGTTAAGTTGAAAAAGTAAATTTTTTGTGAAAAAGTTGTCATTTTAATCCCCCCCCCTGTAGGCAGATAAAGGGTCAAATTTACAAAAAAATATATCAAATGATAGGTAAAAACATCAAGCATCTATAAAAAAAAATTATATTGATTTGTTCATTTTTGTAAAAGTTACGGCAGTTTTTAGTAAAATAAATTGAAAAAATTTCGAAAATTAGCGATTTTTAAATTTGTAATTTTTTTGGAGGTTTCCCCCATTTACGGGGAACGAGGGAAATATTCAATTTTGAAGGGTAATGTCTTCGACTAGATACGATTTGTGATCTTTTGACGTATCGTTGGAAGAAATCGGTACAGTGAGAGAAAAAGTGGCAACAGACATAAAAAAAAAAAAAAACACATCATAATAAAACTATTACCTTCTCAGCTTCGTATCAAAGCTAAAAAATTGTATCTAAAAAACAATTAAAGTTATGCTAAATATGAAAATGCCATTTATTATTAAATTAAAAACTCAAACACTATTAAATTCAAAATATGTGTTCCCATTTAAAAAAACAAAATTGACACCCTTACCAGGCAAAAGGGATGAACTTAAAAAGTATTACACTGTTAATAATTCAAGAATAATGTGTTACTTAAGATAATTAAAAGAAAAATATTTAAATTATTTTTAGTCTGTAAGTAATTGAGTGGGTTATAATAAAAAAATCAACCTGTATATATATATTATGTTATATAACTACTAATGTTAAATTATAGAATGAGCCCAATATTTTGGTATAATCACTATTAAATACTATAAAAAAAGAGTATTAAGATTTTTCATATTCTATTTCATATATTTATTGGCTTTTAAGAAATTATTTTTTTTAAATCTAGTCTAAACTCATATCATGTATATATTTTACAATTTTTTTGTTTTTAGCTTCGATGCGAAGATGAGAAGGTATTAATTTTACTATGATGTGTTTTTTTTTTGTGTCTGTTACCACTTTTTCTCAGCTCTCATCGAACCGATTTCTTTCAACGATACGTCAAAAGATCACAAATCGTATATAGTTGAAAATGTTACCCTTTAAAATAGATAAATTTTCTCTTGTTCCTCGAAAATGGGGGAAATCTCCAAAAGAATTACAATTTTTAAAATCGGTAAATTTTGTCATTTTTTTCACTTTTTTTTCTTAAAACTTCCATAACTTTTTCAAAAATCAACAAATCAACATAATTTTTTTTTAAACTAAAACGTTAGATATTTTCCTTTCATTTGATATAATTTTTTTGAAAATTTAACACTTAACCTGCTCATGGGGGGGATTTAAAATTGCAACTTTTTTACAAAAACTAACTTTTTCAACTTAATTTTTGAAAATGTTCCGAAAATACTGCGTCCTTTAAACATATATCAAATTAAAGCTTATTTTATGTACTATAAAATGAAAAAAAAAATTCGTCACGACATGTTATAGTCTATGAGTAAATTGCCACCGAAATTAAAAAAAATCAGCTCCTATCATAATGTTTTTTGTTTTTAATACTACCATAACTTATTGAAATATTAACAAAAACAAAATAATATTTTTTTATATTGAAACCTTAGGTAATTTCCTTTCATTTAATATCATTTTTTTTTTAATCTAACACTTATTCTGCTCAAAGGGGGGGATTTAAAATAGCAACTTTTTTACAAAAACTAACTTTTTCAACTTAATTTTTGAAAATGTTCCGGGAATACTGCGTCCTTTAAACATATATCAAATTAAAGCTTATTTTATGTACTATAAAATGAAAAAAAAAATTTGTACCGACGATCTATTTTCTATGCGCAAATGATTACCATATTCAAAAATATGCTATTTTTGTGTTAAAATCCTGGGTTTTGTATTTTATTTTATTTTAAAATATCTTATAAGGGCAATACACTGACTTTCATGAATATTATATAATTTATTTGACATAGAATAAAGTTCATAAGTCATAAGAAATTAAACTATTTTAAATTTTTTTGCTTTTTTAAAGTCGAAATAGTAACTTTTAAATTGCTACTTTTACCTTGCGACGAAAGCGACCAACAGTTGCCGAATCGATAACATTTGTGTCCTTCATACTAGGGGTACGAGGTTCGAATCCGCCTGTGGCAATTAATATTTTGCATTTTTTTTTTTTGAGTTAGAAAAAAATGTTTAAATCATTTGATTTTTATCTCATTAAGGTATAACTTCAATAAATATCAAATATCCCATCATTATAGTCTCCCCACGTGAGAAGAAATTTTTTATTCATGTTAATATTATTTTACTATGTGTTTTTTTTGAAGCCGCTATTTATTTTTCCAACCCTCACTTAACCGACTTTTTTCAATGATACGTCAAATGATTAAAATTCGTATTTAGTTGAAGATATTACCCTCAAAAATTGAAGAAAAAAAATTCCTAATCAAATAACAAGTAGCTTAACCAGCTTTATCCATACAAACAATTAATATTATTCATTTCTAATATTTTTAAAGTAAATTTTCGAATTAGATTTGATATTATATAATTTTACTTTGAAATTTATTAATTTTTTCTCTATTTGTGTGTGCTACTACCAGTCTATAATATTCCAAATTTTTTCGTAACATGTTGCTATATAAATCATAAATAAAAAAAAAAATGATTTTTAGTTTCACCTGAATTTAACGATGGATTTTTAACACGCTTATATTAGTTTCACCTGTATGCACCTGTTTCACAATGGATGAAATAAAAAAATTACTGTAAATAGTAATTATAAAATTTCCTGATTGCATATTAATCTTAACAATACCATTTTTTCTATTTAATTTCAAACTTGCAAATTGAACTAAAAGTTATGGTGATAAATTCATTTTTTTTTTTTTATTATAAACTTTCACTTTATAGGACAAATAAAAGTAGGTTAAAAATTATTACTTTTAACATATTAAAAATCAATAATAATTTGAAAACAATTAATTATAAAAATTATATAATCTATAAGTAAAAGAATTACTAATCTGGATATAATCAAGGAAATAGAAGTTGATGTTGCTTTTGTAATTATCTACCAATTTCTTAGAATTAAACACTGTCTACAGATTTGAATCGAAGCGTTTCTTATGATAGTGATTTTAATCACTGTCAGATTAAATCTATACTGGACCCAATCATGCCACGTCCCCACTGTGCCGCGACCCCACTGTGCTGGGTTTTTGAAATGTAATTTGAGTCCACCGAAAGTTGCAACTAATACCATTCTAAAGTTTTTTTTTTTTTACAACCGTTAGGTTGGTTAATACCAACTGGATTGGTATATCCTAGGGAAATTTAAGTGCAATGGTTTTCCGTTGCTTTCTACATTGGGAACATGGTATAATAATTTAAAATGGAATAATTTTCAATATATTTTAAAAGTTTTACAACAAATTTAATAAAGTAGATATTTAATACTGACATTATATAGTTTAGTATTAAGTACTATAAAAGTGTACAATGGTAACAGATACAAAAATTAAAATAAAAAAATAACATATTAAAATTAGTACCTTATCAGCTTCCCATCAATGATAAAATACGTTGTTTATAATCCCTTATTTCATAATTTAAGAAATATACAGAGAAAAGTAACAATTAAATTTTTCAAAACCACTAAATATCAGGTTTGAATCAAAATTTGTTTTACGTTCTAAAACTTAAAATGTTAACAATATTATTACGCTATATATTTTGAAATAATTTAAATGTTATAGATTTATAATGTACTCAATTTTGTAATTTTTTAACAATATCAATTTTTATGTTTTTCGATATTTAAGTGTTATTCTTAATTTTGTACCTTATTAGAAATTAACCCATCCATTGCTTGCATGTAAGAATTTTCCTCATAGTTTACTTGCTAAGAAACACTAGGTGTCTCACACTTATATTTGTATTTATTATATTATTATATTACAAAATATAAAATTAGTATTTATTTTACAGGTATTTTTTGTTTTAAGAAAAAAACAATCACATGTATCATTTTTACACTTATACCATCACATGAATATGGTTATTTCCTCTTGGGTGTGTATGCGGTTTTTTAAGAGTAAGCTATGCTTTATATATTTCAAAAGTTTTATTATAATATTTGATCCATAGTTTTACTCCTGACAAACTATTTAAGACACTAATTGGCAAGAACGCCTCACTGCTGTTTTATTTGCGACTTATTTGCGTGTATGAAAATATTTAAATTATTAAATATAAAACTAATGTTTTTTTTCATTAATTCATGGAAAAAACATAAAATTTCAAACCTTATTTAATAATTTAAACATAGTCAACGGAAAAGAAAAATTATTAGACAAAAATGTTTTTTTGAATTATGTTGAACTAAATTCAAACTTGAAGATCCTAAATAAGAAATTTCATCAAAGGTTAAAATTGACTACATCGGTAGGTGGTACCAATTAATTGCAATTAATTTCAATTGATAATTCAGTGATTCACTGAGATTCACTACTTGAATTAGTTGTAGAAAATTTAGGTATAAAAGATTCTTTTGGGCATACAAACGAAAATGTATTGTAAATTAATAATAAAAAGGAACTGATTGAGACAACCAACTTTAGTACATACTATTAATATAGCCCATTGCTTTATTTTAATAACTGTTATATAATTGTTAGTGAATGTGATACTATTAAATTTAATACAGATTGGAAATACAATAAATTAAGAAATTTTTGGAATTTTCTAAATGATTAGTTTTAAATAATATAGAAAATATATTATCAAATGTTCATGTTTAACAATGTAAGAAATTTCATATTCTATGGTTTTAAATAAACATAATATTAAGTGTGAATTATTCAGTATATTACTTCCCATTCTTTCGTCAAATAATAACTTTTCATAAGAATGTAGACTAATATTTAATTTAAAACTATTGTATTTATCAATTTAATTATTAAAAAAATTATACCTAAGGGTAGATTTTGAGGGGTATCTGTCGAATAAAACGGGAGCCTATTTCTATTTGTAACTATTAAATAGAGAATGGTTTAAATAATATCTTGAAAGTTTGACAATTATTATTGTGTTATTTGAATTAATTTCAAAATTACATGTAAAATTTAAAATAAAAATTAACTAAAAAATATTTAATTCAAAAAAGTACAAAAACTACTGTAAAATTGCAAATACATTAAAATATGACTTATTATTATTTTTGTAAATAATTTATTTTTTGTCAGTCCACGTTATTCTTTACAAAGTCATCCAAGTACTTTTTTTTTGGCGCATTAAAACTTATCTCGGTCAATCAAAGATTCTGGAGGATGATGGTTACATGATAAAGGTATCATATTAAATATAAAAAAATGATCTACATCCGTATATTGGCGTTTTTTGATAATGTTATTGTCTTTTAAAGTTTATGTTTTTTTTTTTTAATTGTTATAACCTTGTATAAAATTGGTTTACTGAAAATCGCCTGTGTACGGATGTAGATAATTTTATTAGGTTTAATTTGACATTTTGATTATGACCTACAACAGTCCTTTAGTATCTAATACATATGTTAATATATTTTTTAATTATTTACATCGTTTTGTGGCGTACCTAGAGGAATCCGTTGCACACGCGCGATTGTCGGCAGCAGCAGCGACTTTGAAAACAGGGTTTTTCCTATTTTTTAACAGAATTTCAGTATTATGAAAACCAAATTAATATAAAATCAAGATATTATTCGTCTCAAATATTATAGTACTTTAAATTAATTGAAAGCTTATAAATACTGTGATTATTTTTAAAATTTTTATTAATTTTAACAAAAAAATTGTAATACTGACTTGTTCATTCAACATATATATATTTTAATGACTATATTTTACTATGTCTTAGTATTATACACTATATTTTATAATGTTTTTGAAGAAATAAAGTTTTTACATGATTTCGAGAATTTCAAGAAGACTAGCTTGAAAAGCATAACTTAATTTTTTAATGTTAATTATGTTAAGAAAATTATTTTTGGTATTTTAAAGTCTCATATATTTCTTAATTTATCAATCATTAACTACTATTTTAATTCACCTTATAACCTATTTAAAAGCTTACCTTATACATTATAAAGGTGTCAATTTTATTTTTATTAATAGCAACATACATGTTTAGCTAGCTTATTAAATAAAAAATTATCTTATTAAGAAAAAGACGAATCGATAACAACTTTTGGACCAGTTGTCGGAAAAGATTAACAATTTAAAGTAATAATTGAAGATAAAGAATGGATGCTACTATTTTTAACACGCTTATATTAGTTTCACCTGCATGAATGTTTGTAACTCTCCACGCGCCACGTGCTATTCTCTCGTATTACTTCGTCTATGGCTTTGGGACTAGACTGTCGTAACGCATTCACCCCACCCCGCTCACCTAACACAGATGACACTATTACTGTATAGTTTTATGTTTGGTTTTCGTACCCGAACATGCGTGCGCATCATCAATATTATATATTCAATATTGAATATATTATATTTAATATTGTATATTATTTATATAAATTTTTATTGTTTATTATTAGATATAAACATTTAAAGATACAAATACAGGTAGCTAATTGGTTTTTTATGACAATGTTCGCAGGTATATAACTTTTATTATCAATGGTAATAATACACATTGTTGTGAGTTTATAAACACACTAACAGGCAATACAGAAATTATATCTATTGATAGTGATAATTGACAATAAACACTCCTTGACTGTAACAGCGATGTCAAAAAAAACTAAAAAGTGAAAAATAAATATAGTTTAAAAGCGTATTTTCAGTTTTTTTAAACTATGTTTATTATAACTAGACATTTGCCGGTCGTTATTTTTCTCTTATCTAGATATAAATAGGTCAATAATTTCCGAAAACTGGCTTATTATTACGGAAGTTATTACTATTTTAAAAATTCACTGGAAATGAAGCGTGGGTAGCAGATGTCACGTCATCTTATTTAATATTTTTTTTATAACCTTAGTAAGATTTTTCTAATATATATTATTTGTATATCTTATAATGTGTGTAATTTTATACCTGGTTGGTTAGACATATGCAGCTGAGAAATTTCTAATACTAAATTTTGTCATACTGCCCTTCACCTCCAGACAATATTTTTAAATAGTAATGAATTCCGTAAGAGGTATCGGAGGCTGTGGTATCAATGAAAAAGGATAAAGCAGTGGTACCAGATGATTTGCCAGTAGAAGTATGGAAAATATTAAGCGGTGTTGGCATAAGGTGGTTGAAGGAGCTTTTAACTAAAAATGGAGGCTGTGGTATCAATGAAAAAGGATAAAGCAGTGGTACCAGATGATTTGCCAGTAGAAGTATGGAAAATATTAAGCGGTGTTGGCATAAGGTGGTTGAAGGAGCTTTTAACTAAAAATGGAGGCTGTGGTATCAATGAAAAAGGATAAAGCAGTGGTACCAGATGATTTGCCAGTAGAAGTATGGAAAATATTAAGCGGTGTTGGCATAAGGTGGTTGAAGGAGCTTTTAACTAAAAATGGAGGCTGTGGTATCAATGAAAAAGGATAAAGCAGTGGTACCAGATGATTTGCCAGTAGAAGTATGGAAAATATTAAGCGGTGTTGGCATAAGGTGGTTGAAGGAGCTTTTAACTAAAATCTTATTAGAAAGGAAAATTCCAAATGAATGGAGAAATGAAGAGTGAATGTGTCAAACGTTCTATGTGCCAAAAAAATATTTGTTCAGAAAACACAAAAAACAATGGTAAAATGGGCATGTCTCACAAAACGAACACCACCTATGAACGCAATTTTGGACAAGTAAAAAATTTAATTGACATTTGAAACACCTACAAGATTGTGGCCCTTGGTACGTAGAACATAAATCAGAAACAAAACAATTTTTCACTTTTTTGGCACGTAGAACGTTTGACACATTCACTCTTCAAATATTATTGTTATGTCGATGTTTAAAAGTAAAGATGACATACAGAAGTATGGAAATTATAGAGGCATAAAGGTTATGAGTTATAGTATGAAAATTTAGGAAAAGGTAATAAGAAATGAGACATCGGTATTTAAAAAACAGTTGGAATTTATGCCTGGTAAGTCAAAAATGGAGCCATTATTTTGTGTGAGGCAACTAATAGAAAGGTTAAGAGAAAAAATAAAAAGCTTTGTATGGTATTTATAGATTTGGAGAAAGCGTATGATAGGGTACCGAGAGAGGTTTTAAAATGGACATTATTGAGAAAAGTAGTCCCGAAAAGATACATTATTATAATAAAAGATATGTATGATGATACTCGTAATAGAGTNTTATAATAAAAGATATGTATGATGATACTCATAATAGAGTAAAAAGCGTAGAAGGAGTAACAGAAGGTTTTCGGGTAAGAATAGGAGTGTACCAAGGTTCTGCTTTAAACCCTTACTTATTCTCTATAGTGATGGATGAAGTTACTAGAGAAATACAACGAGAGATGCCTTGGTTCATGCTGTTTGCTGACGATATAGTGTTAATAGAAGAAAATAAGGAGAAAATTAATCAAAGGCAGAGGTATGGTGATCAACTCATGAAGAAAAGGGTTTAAGAATAAGTAGGAGTAAGACAGATTATATAGAGTAGGAGTTTAGGATAAGGAACGAACATATAAGAGGGAGCATAGGTGTAGCGTCTATCGTGAATAAGATAAGAGAAAATAGACTTAGATAGTTTGGTCATGTTATGAAAAAAGAAGAATGGAAGCTGTAAGAACAGTTATAGAAATGAATGTTGAAGGAAGAAGAGGCAGAGGAAGATCAAAAAAGAGATGGAGGGATGCTATTGAATGTGATATGAGGACAGCTGATGTGAGCGTAGAGGATGTGGAAGTTCGTGTCAAGTGGGAGTTTAGTGTAAGGGTGGCTGACACCAAGTAGTTGGGATAAAGGCGAGGAAAAAGAAGAAGAGTAAATTCCGTAATAATGAGTCAAAAGTTGTTTTTGACCCATAATTTTCTTTATAAGATAATTTTTTATTTAATAAGCTAGTAAAATCTTGTTGTTGTTTTAATAGGTTTTATTTTAAAAAATAAATTTGACACCCTTATAAAATATAATGGATGAATTTAAAAAATAGCTAATAACTTATAAATCAAGAAATATATGAAACTACAAAATATAAAAAGTAATTTTCTTAACATAATTATTATTGTGTTATTATTATTGAGTTGGTAGCGTTAAATTTTTTATATATATTCCGCTTAAAATTTTATGCTCTAAGAATCATTTTGAAGGAAATCTTTATAATTAATAATTCTTTAATTTTTTTTAGATCATCACGTCATATTAGTGGGATCGTTAAATTTAATTGTTCACGTCGTCATGTATACTTATTACTTTTTAGCAGCAATGGGACCTCAAATACAAAAATATTTGTGGTGGAAAGTTTACTTGACTCGTTTACAATTGGTAAGTACATAACATTAATTAAGCTGGACTGTTTTTAAATAATTCAAAAATTTTAAAATACAAAATGTTGTTTTCATTTTCTTATTAAATCAATACTTGAACAAAAAATTATTTACAAGATGTCCCAGACTAAACTGATAACACTNAACAAAAAATTATTTACAAGATGTCCCAGACTAAACTGATAACACTTTCAATAGAATTTTTTTTTTTAATAATATTTTATAAATAAAAAGCAAACACAGTACGTACATGGCACAGTGCGTACATGACATAATTGGAGCAATTATAGATGATATTTGATAGTGATTAAAATCATTATTCACTATCATAAAAAACGTTTTGATACATATTTGTTAATAGTTTTTAATTTTTAGAAGGAATCGTTGAATTATTCTAAAAAATATCAAATCTTATTTCCTAAATTACATCCTTATTACAAGTTTTAAGTTTCATTAATATAATGCATGAATAAATAAATATACTAGAAATTAATTTTAGTATGATATTTAATAATTTAGTAATATAATTACTACGAAAAAATTATTAAGTTATTGTAAACAGAATGATTCTTTTAATATTGGCCACTTGATTTTCCTTAAATAAAAATTATATTAAGAAAATTCTTTTTTAATTTTAATAATTCTTATTTTAAAAGAAATCAATTTGTTATAAATGGTAATCTAGAGGCTATTTTGAAAAAACTTTGTACATCGCTACTTCATTTTCATAATCTATTGGTAGTTAGAACATTTTTTTTTTTTTTAAGGACAGCCCCTTCTTATTAATATACTCATTTTTTTGACATTACAACTGCAAAGGCGTTGAAAGACTTATGACCAGTACTAGTTCCATGTTATCACTTTTTGAAGTAAAATCTCGAAATTAGTTTTGGATAATTGAACAAATTTACTTAAACCAAATTTTTTTATTTAATTATAAAAATCAATTTAAGTCGTTTTTAGTTTCGAAAAACAATATAATTTTACTATTTTTATTTTCTTCTTCTTCTTCCTCGACTTAATCCCAACTACTTGGTGTCAGCCACCCTTACACTAAACTCCCACTTGACACGAACTCCCACATCATCTACGCTCACATCAGCTGTTCTCATATCACATTCAATAGCATCCCTCCATCTCTTTTTTGGTCTTCCTCTACCTCTTCTTCCTTCAACATTCATTTCTACAACTGTTCTTACAGCTTCCGATTCTTCTCTCCTCATAATATGACTGAACCATCTGAGTCAATTTTCTCTCATCCTATTCACAATTGACGCTACACCTATACCCCCTCTTACATGCTCATTTCTTATCCTATCTTCTCTAGTCACTCCACTCATCCATCAAGCATTCTCATCTCCACTACACTCATTCGCTGCTCTACTTTATTGTCAACCGACCAACATTCTGAACTATACATCAGAACTGGTCACACTACAGTCTTGTAGAATTTACCTTTCATCCTCATTGGAATTTTTTTATCGCATAAGACGCCAGACGCTTCTCTCCATTTCAACCACCCTCACTTTAACCTTGTCTTACATCCTCGTCAATACAACCGCTCTTTTGCATAACTGACCCTAAATACTTAAAACTTTCCACCTCTCCAATTACGTCCAATCACTAAAACCTTATACTATACAATATACCCAACTATTGTGTAAATTTAATGAGGTTTAATTTAATATAAATAAATCAATCTAAAACAATTTTCATAACCTTTCATTAATTTCCTCCTTATTTTCTTCTATTAACACTATATCGTCAGCAAACATCATGAACCACGGCATCTCTCGTTGTATTTCTCTAGTAACTTCATCCATCACTATAGAGAATAAGTAAGGGTTTAAAGCAGAACCTTGGTACACTCCTATTCTTACCCGAAAACCTTCTGTTACTCCTTCTACGCTTTTTACTCTATTACGAGTATCATCATACATATCTTTTATTATAATAATGTATCTTTTCGGGACTACTTTTCTCAATAATGTCCATTTTAAAACCTCTCTCGGTACCCTATCATACGCTTTCTCCAAATCTATAAATACCATACAAAGCTTTCCTTTTTTTCTCTTAACATTTCGATTACCTACTTATTACTTTTCTATTCTGTACTATTTTTATAATGTATTATAATAATAAACAAGTTATAATATTTTTATTTATTTATCAGATGATTTATTACATATTAATTTCTTTATTTTATTGCAGGTTCAATTCATGATTGCAATATTGTACTTTGTATCTCTATTTATTTTTGATTGTTCTTTTCCAAAAGTATTTATATCGTATGTGATATTAAACATAACATTTTTTTTATACTTATTCACAATGTTTTATTTGAAGACTTATAAAAAAGTTAAGCCAGAGTAAATTAAATTATGATGTTTTAACTTTATTATTTCACTTTTTTTTTAATATTATATGTAATATAAAGTATTTTTTTTTAAATTAATTAGTAAAAACTATTTTACTAAAAACTAGCATATGAAATTTTCATTATTTTCTATGATTACTTGTTCAGCAAAGAAAGGATTTCCTTAAGTTATTTTGACATTTGAGTATGTTGGATAGTCGACAACGGTCTTTTTTTTATATTGAGGGTACATATATATGTCATATTCAATATATTATAATAATATTTGAAAACACAGTTATTATTAAGGCATATAATATAAATTCATCAATATGAAATCATTTTACTAAAAAATATAAAAAATCATTTATAAAAATGAATTAATAAAATATTTTCTAATAAATGTTTGTAAAATTTACTCCATCTACTATGTCATGTGATAACTCTAGTTATGAAATAACCAAGCTATTTCTGATGCATTTGCAAATTATTTTTCGTCAGTATACGCTAGTTCTCCATTTGATAGCACCTATCATAGTACTAATATTTTAACTGAATCTTTAATAAATACCTCGTCTCTGTATATACCCTTATCTGATGTTTTTGAAGATCTTTCAAATATGGGTGAAGACTGCACTTTTGGACCAGATAAATTATATTAATTAAATTTAAAAAATAAATTAATTAATTGTTGATAAATTAATTGTTTTATCTAACTGTTGTTACGCCCTCGCTCGTCCAATTCACATTTTATTTAATATATCTCTTTCTCATGGTATTTTTCCTTAATTATAGATATCTAGTTTTGTAATCCCAATCTTGAAATCTGGAAATCGTAATTTAATACAAAATAATCGCTCAATTTCAAAATTAAGCTCAATACTAAAATTTGTTGAATAATTGATTGAGCCAAAATTACCTTATATGTTTAATAGTATTATAATTGATGAACAACATGGTTTTCGTACCAAAAAATCAACTTATACTAATTTGTTAGTGTGTGTTACAAATCTATTTGATATTATTGAAAAAAAAGGACAAATTGACGCTATATATACTGACTTAAGTAAAGCTTTTGATTCAGTTGATCTCAAATTATTATTAAATAAACTTAATGCTCAGGGNCCAATTCACATTTTATTTAATATATCTCTTTCTCATGGTATTTTTCCTTAATTATAGATATCTAGTTTTGTAATCCCAATCTTGAAATCTGGAAATCGTAATTTAATACAAAATAATCGCTCAATTTCAAAATTAAGCTCAATACTAAAATTTGTTGAATAATTGATTGAGCCAAAATTACCTTATATGTTTAATAGTATTATAATTGATGAACAACATGGTTTTCGTACCAAAAAATCAACTTATACTAATTTGTTAGTGTGTGTTACAAATCTATTTGATATTATTGAAAAAAAAAGGACAAATTGACGCTATATATACTGACTTAAGTAAAGCTTTTGATTCAGTTGATCACAAATTATTATTAAATAAACTTAATGCTCAGGGTATTGGTAAACCACTATTATCATGGTTTGGCTCCTTTTTAACGGGTAGAAATCAACAAGTTAAAATCTTAGACCAAGTGTCATCTGCTTTTAGTGTCTCATCTAGTGTACCACAAGGTGGACATTTATCTCCCTTATTATTTTTGTTATTCATAAATGATTTTAAAAATGTGTTTCATTTCTGTAAATATTATCTTTTTGCCGACGATCTAAAGATGTATGTGGTAGTTAACTCATTAGAAGATTGTTATAAGCTGCAAAATGATATTAACCGTTTCAGTGAATTGTGTAAAAATAACCATTTATTAATAAACATCAATAAATGTGCTCAAATATCCTTCACTAGAAGGAAAACCCCTGTTTTATACAATTATTCTATTGATTATCAAGACCTTAACATAGTTTCTTCCATTAAAGATTTGTGTATCATTTTATCTGCCGATCTCTCTTTCTCTGAGCATCTTTCATTTATATACAGCAAAGCAATGCGCATATTAGGATTCATCAGACGTCAATGCTACGATTTCAAAAATATCGATTGTCTAAAATCATTATATTGCACTATGGTACGTTCAATTTTGGAGTATGGGACAATAATTTGGAATCCTTATCAGCTTAATCAAATTAACCGTCTGGATAATGTACAATCATATTTCTCGAGATATTTATCTTATAAGTTTTTATATCTTTTTACTCATAAAAAATCCGCTTTGTAAGATAAATCGTTCATAAATACAAAGAACAAAGTAATTAATGACATAAAATCATATGATAGCCATTTCGTTATGATTAAGTAATTATTCTTTTTTTATTTATTTATTTGTTTATTAACGCCGTAAGGCATGACAGTGTACAAAAGTTTAATGTATAGTAAACTTAATATTAAAAATAAGTAATATAAAATAGATTTTAAATATAATGATACAGTTTTGCTACTAGATTTAAAGGTAATAAAATAAAATTAATCATAATATAAAATATTATAAATTAAATTTCAAACATAATGACGAAGTTTTAATTTTATTTCTGATATTCCAAGGATATTTATTTTCGTCCTGTTAATTTCAATTTTCAGGTTTTCCAACTTCCCGCATTGTAATAAAGTTCTTACATTCCAAGTTGCTATGAGTATAAACTCTTTAACATTTCTTTCCTCTATCGTAGTCCTCACCCGGAGATCCAAATGGGGGACTATTTTAACAGCAGATACATTAGACATTTGGTTGAATTTTTTGTAGGATTTTTAAAATTTTAAATGACCAAATCAATTGTAAGGTTTCAGCCAAACCAGCGGGCCTACTATTTACCCACTGTCCAAGGGAATACTGAACAGTGACCTAGTAGCCGAGCCAAGCGAGGATAGTACTCGTTGACGGAGCTACTAGGTTTTGATTTAAAAAAAAACAAAGATTAATAATAAAATGAGAGAAGAATAAAAAGAGAAAGGCCATGTATAATATAATAACATTTTTTTAATGATTTAAAATTTATAAATATTATTTTAAATATATATATTCATAAGAAAAGAATAATAAAAAAAAAAGAAGAAAAAGAGGTGCTATATACACAACATTAATAATGAGGTAGAACAGGGGGTTTCATGTTATACTCGTTGATCGTGTTCTTGAGTGGCGACCCACCACTGGCCATAGTTGCGCCTCACATCATCATCATCATCATAAACATCTCAATGTTTTATTTTACAAAAAAAAAAAATGGAGGACAAAAAAAAAATACAGTCTGGTTGACCCAATGAGTAGACGGCAGGTGGACTCAACGTTTTATTTTAATAAAAAAACGGAGGACAAAAAAAAAATTACAAAAACGTGGTTTTCACACCAAAAAAATATACAGGCAACTTGTCGCCTCGGTAGTATAGTTGAGAAGAGAGAAAAGGCCGTTGTCGCGGCATTTGTATAATGGCCGGTGATCGTTGTGCCGGGTAGTGAAGGTGCCAACTTTAAATTGGTTCATAAGGAGTTACATAAATGTAGTGATGCACTGTGTGCGGTCAAATTGTCACAACAAAACGGGTACTGGCCATTGGATCGGTTGACTGGTATATAAGTTAATTTTATAATTGGGGACATACTTAATACCTAATGCACACACCATTAACTGATAAGAATTGACTAAAAAGAACTAGTCAAATTCTGCAACATTACACAATATAAGTTTTTTTTATAGATACCTTAAGTATTTACTTAACATTTGATATATTTTTGTGAACATTTGACACTTTACCTGCCCACGAGGAGGGTGTTTAAATGGCAACTTTTCCACAAAAAATTAAGTTTTTCAACTTAACTTTTGAAAATGCTCAGTAAATAATGACACTTTTACATACTTTTTATATACCCCTTTCATCCGACATACTTTTTTTTTAAATCGGATCATTTTCCTTCATACAAGGGGAGTAAAATTTTAAACATGCGTATTGAAACTAAGACTTTTTTCAAATTAATTTTTGAAAGTTTTCGGGAAATATTGACACTTATACAGGGTGATTTTTTTATCATAACCCACTCAATTACTTGCAGAATAATAATAATTTAAACATTTTTTTTTTTCATTATCTTTAGTTACACATTATTCTTGAATTTTTAACTATGTAATACTTTTTAAGTTCATCCCTTATGCCTTGGAGGGGGGTCAACTTTGTTTTTTTAAATGGTAACACATATTTTTAATTTAATAAAATGTTTGAGTTTTTAATTAAATAGTAAATGGAATTTGAATTTTTAATATAACTTAATTCGTTTATTAGATATAATCATTTAAAGTTTCAAATTTTTGAATTAATATGCAGGTATAATACACAATGGATAACAAATATAGGTAGCTAATTGGTTTTTTATAATATCGATATTAACAGGTACACAGATAATAACTATCAATTGTAGTAAGGCACATTGTTATGAGTTTATAAATACACTAACAAACAATACAGAAAGTATATCTATTGATAATCATAATTGATAATAAACAATCCGTGACTGAGACAGCAATGTCATAAAAATCCAATTAGCTACCTGTATTTACAATCCCATGTGTATTATACATGTATATTAACTCAAAATTTTGAAACTTTAAATGTTTATATCTAATAAGCTAATAAAGTTATATTAAAAATTCAAATGCCATTTACTATTAAATTAAAAACTCAAACATTTTATTAAATTAAAAATATGTGTTACCATTTAAAAAAACAAAGTTGACCCCCCTCCAAGGCATAAGGGATGAACTTAAAAAGTATTACATAGTTAAAAATTCAAGAATAATGTGTAACTAAAGATAATAAAAAAAAAAATGTTTAAATTATTATTATTCTGCAAGTAATTGAGTGGGTTATGATAAAAAAATCACCCTGTATATATCTTAAATTAAAGCTATTATAAAATACTTTACTATGAAAAAAATATTTCGTACTTTAGTTTGTCTTTACGGTGAAAATGGTTACCATATTCAAAAATATGTTACTTTTTTGTTAAAATTCTCGATTTCATATTTTTGATTTTATATTTCTATAACTTTTTTATTTTAAAATACTTTACAAGTGTTAGTCATAGTAATGAGTTCACCGATTTTTATAAAAGTTACATGAGTCTAACTGAAATTGAATATAAATATAAACTTATTTTGAATAGTTCGCTTCCTACGTTAAAAGAAACGACTTCGATTTTCTGAACTAGCTTAAATTGTCCTTTTTATCTACCAATATATGTATGATGTAAGGTTTTCGAGTCAGTCTCGCATCAGTGCCAAACAGTTCAAGGTGGAAAAAAATTCAAAATTCGTTTGAAATTTATGTATTTAGATTGAATAACTGCAATTAAATTTTTTTCATGGCCTCTTTTTTGGACATTAATACTAATTTATAAAAACGAGTATTTACACCTAACAATTTATTTTTATAATTAATATGTTAAAAATAATCCGTGAAAATTTTGATTCAAAATGTCATGTTTGACCTATTTTTTTTGTCTTTTAAAGTTGAATTTTATGAAAGTTCGAATTAAAAATAAAAATTACAATACTAATTTTTCTTTTTTTTAATTAAGGCTTCGACATCTGTGGTCATTAGCCATAGTTACATTTATATGTACATTTAGTTTATAAAATTTGTACAATTGGTTTATAATAATAATAAAAGTCTATGCAATAATACATATTAAATTAAAGAGTATAGGTTTAGTAATTTTATGTATTTGAGGATGTTTTCTTCGTTACTTTCTTTCAGGATGTTTTTGATGTTGTTTGACAGATTGAATATGAGGCGAAATATAAGAAAATACTTGTTTTATTGTGATAGGTTTTTTGCAGGTTGAGCATATTGGTTGTGGTTTATGGTTCAGGACGTGTGCGTGGGTGAGGTAACTATGCCCTATTCGAGTTTTTGTTTAAGATTACGTCTTGTCTTCTTGTCAGAGTTATATTTGAATGCCATTTTTTTATAGTTATTTTTATTTCTCCAAGTTTGAGGTTGAGTGATATCTCGTTTCATATGTTTTTCCATTTTTAAACTATTATTTTGGTTATTTCATGAATTGCGTCATTTGAGGGAATTCCTACAGTAATATCAATGTTAGATGATATGGTAGCTTCATTTGCTGCAGTATCTGCTGCTTTGTTTCTAAAGATTCCTACATGGGATGGAATCCACATGTATTTTATGTCTTTGTTTGTATTTACTAATATGGATTGGATGTTCTGAATTAGTTCGTATTTAGTACTTAGATTTTTTATAGCTGTAAGTACATTGAATGAATTGCTTAGGATTAGTATTTTATTGTTTGCTATATATTTTGTTAATTTAGTTGCTTCAAGTATTGCGTATGCCTATGCGCTAAAAATGCTTGCTATTGTATGTATTTTACATTTAGACGTGGTGTTTTAGGTGGTGAATGATAAGCCAACTCCGTGTTCTGATTTAGATGCATCTGTGTAGATGTGTATATAGTTATATTTTGTGTTGCAGGTGTCTAAAAAATGAGCGTGAAGTATTTCAGTATTAATGCTTTTTTTGTAACTGGAGTAAATCTGTATTGAAGAGGAAATTCCGTTTCCAAGGTGGGATTTGGTTGAAAGGTATTTTAGCTTCGATGCGAAGAAGGTATTTAGCTGAGAAGGTATTGGTTTTACTATGATGTGTTTTTTTTTTTTTTTGTGTCTGTTACCACTTTTTCTCAGCTCTCACCGAACGGATTTCTTTCAACGATACGTCAAAAGATCACAAATTGTATCTAGTCGAAGACATTACCCTTCAAAATTGAAAAAATTTCCCTCGTTCCCTGTAAATGGGGGAAACCTCCAAAAAAATGACATATTTAAAAATCGCTAATTTTCGAAATTTTTTCAATTTTTTTTATTAAAATGTACCGTAACTTTTTCAAAAATGAACATATGAATATAATTTTTTTTTATATAGATGCTTGATGTCTTTACCTATTATTTGTAATATTTTTTTTGTAATTTTGACTTTTTTTCTGCCCACAGGGGGGGATTTAAAATGACAACTTTTTCACAAAAAATTTACTTTTTCAACATAACTTTTGAAAATGTTCCCGAAAGGTCTGACACTTTTATATATATCTTAAATTAAAGCTAATATAATGTACTTTAATTTGAAAAAAAAAAATTTGACCTCTGGACTTGTCTTCATGGTGAAAACGGCTACCGAATACTATTTTCGTGTGAAAATTCTCGATTTTATTATTTATATAATATTTAACTTTATAATGCTATAACTTATTGAAAAGTTTATGGATCCACACAATTTTTTTATGAGAAATAATATTTTTTAATAAACCCTTTTTCATTTGACATACTTTATCTTTATCGAGATATTAATAAGGAACCAGCAGATCAAGTAGCTTTTGGAATAAAACACCAATTTTTTTTAAATTAAGCACTATCTAAAGATTTGCATCGAAGCGTTTATTTTTGATAGTGATTTTAATCACTGTCAGATATCATTATACTTGATCCAACTATACCACGTCACAACTGTGCCGCGACCTCCCTGTGCTGGGTTTTTTTTGTCTATTACTACTTTTTCTCAGCTCTTACCGAACCGATTTCTTTCAACAATACGTCAAAAAATCGTAAATCGTATTTAGTCAAAGATATGACATATACACATGAAAATTGAAAAAATTTCCCTCGTTACTCGTAAATGTAGGAAATTTCCATAAAAATTACACATTTAAAAATCACTAATTTTCGATATTTTTTTTACTTAAAAGTGCTTTAAATTTTTTAAAAATTACCAAATCAACATATTTTTTTTATAGATACATGGCATTTTTACCTATCATTTGGTATATTTATTTATAAATCTGACCCTTCACCCGCCCACAAGGGGGATTCAAAATGATAACTTTTTCACAAAAAATCACTTAATTTTTGAAAGTGTTCCAAAAATTCTAAAAATTTTACATATATATCTTAAATTAAAGCTAATGTAATAGACTTTATTATGGAAAAAAAAATTGCGAACTTTATTTTGTCTTTACGGTGATGACATCGAAGTTAATAAAAAAAAACCCAGCACAGTGGAGTCGTAGCATACTGGGGACGTGATATAGTTGGGTCAAGTATAATGATATATCACAGTGATATAAATCACTATCATAAAAAACGCTTCGGTGCAAATTTGTAGAAAGTTGTTAATTTAAAAAAATTGTTTGATAATTCCAAAAACTACATGACCTCCTATTTTCTTATTTATATCCTGATTACAAGTTTTTTGATTTATAAGTGTAATATATGAATAAATATATAAAGGGAAATGGTTTTATTGAAAAAAAAATTGTTTATCATAAAAAATTATAGTGATCCATAGATTTTTCAAAGTTATAGCATTTTAAAATTAAAAAATATAAAAAGAATTTTTTTACAAAAATTTTATTTTTTTAATAACTTTGATATAAGTTTTCACTATGAAAACAAACTAAAGTCTGAAAATTTACTTTTTCATATGAAAGTATATTACATTAGCTCTAATTTAAGATATATATGAATGTGTCAGAGTTTTCAAAACACTTTCAAAAGTACAGTTGAAAAAGTTTTTGTTTTGTATCCCTCCGGTGGGTGTAAATGGTCAGATTTATAAATGAAATATACCAAATGATAGGTAAGGACATCATGTATCTATAAAAAAAATTAAATTGATTTGGTCAGTTTTGATAAAGTTATAGCAGTTTTAAGTAAAATATTAGCAATTTTTTAATTTGTAATTTTTTGGGGATTTCATCCGTTTACGGGGAGCGAGGGAATTTTTTTCAAATTTTGAGAGTAATGTCTTTGACTAGATATGATTTTTGATCTTTTGACGTATCGTTGAAAGAAATCGGTTCGGCGAGAGCTGAGAAAAAGTGATAACAGACATAAAAAAAAAAAAACATCATAGTAAAACTAATACCTTCTCAGCGTCGTATTGAAGCTATAAAAAGGTATAAACATGAAAAATCATGTTTGAGTATTGTATTGCTGACTTGATGAATTAATTAGATTAGAAACATAATTTTCATTAAAAATTAAAATAAAAGCAAATATCTTATTTTAAAAAATTTTTAAATTTTACATTTTTATGTATCGATGGAAGATTTCGGTTCGGTGAGAGCTGAAAAAAGTGGTAACAGATCCAAAAAAAATATAAAAATAAAAATATTTTTTTTTAAATAATTACTATTTATATTTGCCTTTATTGCGATATAACTTTTTTTTTATAGGACCATTTATACGGGGGGTTTAAAACTTAAAAATGCATATAGAAAAAAGAAATTTTTAATCTTAATTTTTGGAAGTGTTGAGGATATACTGACACTTATATATATATATATCTTAAATAAAAGCTTATGTAATATAATTTAATACGAAAAAAAAATTTTGGTCTTTACTTTGTTTTTAAGGTGAAACTGACATCAAAGTCGATAAATAACAATATGATTTTTGTAAAAAATGATAATATTAAATATCAATTTCATACTATATTTAATTGCTATAATAAATGTACACTTATAAATTATAAACCTTGTAATTAGGAAATAAATAAAGAAATAGCAGATCATGTAGCTTTTGGAATAATCACCAAGTTTTTAAAATTAAACACTATCTAAAGATTTGCATCGAAGCGTTTTATTTTGATAGTGATTTTAATCACTGTGAGATATTATTATACATGATCCAACAATGCCACGTCACCACTGTACCACGACCCCCCTGTGCTGGGTTTTGAAATATTTGTTTACGTATATTTTGAGAATAAATAGAGAGTTTTACACTAAAAATATTTCTACAATATACTTCAAAAATATCTTTTAAATATTTGCTCTACAAAAAGTTATAATAAAAATTATAGTTAAAATATATTTTCATATTAGCAATGATATAGGTCAATTTCTAACTTACAAGCGGAGGTGACAGTGATGGGATTATCGATTTTCAAAAAAAATTGTATGAATCTAATCTAAATTTAAAATTTAGTTGCACTTTGAATTGTTTTAAACGGGATAAATGACTGTGCAAATTTGAAGTACCTTAAATAGCCTTTTTTATCATATTAGCAATCTGTGGGTCAGTTAGTAAAGCGTATGTTTGTAGCACTCAAAGTACGAGATTCGAATTCCACGAAGCGTGTTGATTTTTTGTAATTTTTTAATATATTTATAAAAATTTTGCAATATATTGACAAAATAATTTTTATATTATTTTAGAAATGTACCTTTAAAATATTGTGAGAATGAATTATTCGCTGTCAAAGTATATTGTGAGAATATTTTAAAATATTCTAGAAATATTTTATTGCTATGTGGGCAGCTTCGCATTGAAACTAATATTATAAATAATAATTTTACAAGTCAGTTTGATTGTTATAATTACATTAATTTTATTAATTTAATAATTTTCAAAAGACTTATTAGAATTATTCTAATAAGTCTTTTGAAAATTTTCGATTAGCTAAAAGTTTTTAATTTCAAAACTCTCCATATTATAGTTTATACATTAATATATTAATACATTTATACATAAGTATATGATGGATTTAGATGAGTTTATGAATCATGTAGTACATGATTATACATGTAGTATATAATATATACTACATGTATAGTTATCACTATTTAGTAAATTAATTATGTGCCTTATGAAAGCTGGGAAGTCGCAAAAATGTTTGGAATTATTGGTGATATGTGTTTATAAGGTATAGTCAACTACAATAAACGTTTATTACAAAAAGTTCTTTAACTTTTCAACTTTTAAACAACAAAACTTGTATTGAAACTTTATAATTTTTCAATAACTTAAAAAATATTTATATTTTTAATTTAATCTCAGATTCACTATCGTCTTAATGTATTTTTCTTATTATAGTTTTTCATAACGTTATAATTATTCATTTAATATTGAAATATCAAATTTTTCCTGTCAACGCTAATGACAGATGAAAAAAGCTAAAATAATTAATTATTAATTATTTTAAAAACTAGATGTAATGAAAAAAATCTAATGCTAGATTTGAAATCAGCATAAAAATTCTGAAGAGAATTTGCTTATATATTGTTGGCAATAAATGACTATTAACTTGCATTATTATTTATTTTTAGTTTTCCACGTGCCGTTTCTTATAACTTAAAAATAGGTACTACTGTGCCTACTATAATTTAATTTTTCGTACATTTTTGCGAAAATAAACGTATCATTGAATACAAATTTTTGATAGGCCGATAACAACTTTAGGGTAAGTACTTATTGAGTAAGTGTGACGTGTTGAGCGTAATGGATCATTTAGTCACTGTCTTAGTGCTTATGTTTAGCTGTGCCGTTTAATATTAGTTCCCGTATAGTGATCCATTCGGGAACTTTAACAGTGACACAAACGTTCCCATATTATTGGTTCCCTCAGATATAATAAGGTATTATCTGAAGAAAAAATTCTGTCAAATCAATAAGGTAAAGCTGACCCCAAAAACTTGTGATAGAGACTATAGAAATGACAATGACTTATTGAGTTACAAATTTTAATACATGGAGTGTGTATGTAGCACGAAAAGCTTAGTTTATCACGTACTGGTGTATACTCTTGTTTATATACCCACTCTGTGTTTAAATACTTGTAACTCAATAAGTATTAAAAAAAAAAACATTTAAAAAATATTTTATACTCAAAATATTTACTAGATCAAAAGTTATTAATGATGTCAAAACCTGGTGAGACACCTTGTATATATATTTAAAAAACATTTTTGGGAGGGAGAGTGATCCGTATCCTTTGGAATACACAGATACTGCTTTTAATGTTTTGCTTATATTTGAGTACTATCAATCTAATAAAATCTGAATTTTTAAAGACACAAACGAATAACACATTTAAATTAAAAACAACCCATAACTCATATTAATATCAAAAATAGAAATAAAAAACACATCATAGTAAAATTAATACCTTCTCAGCTCGCATCGAAGCTAATATTATATTGAACATAAGTTACATAATTAATCGAAAAATTCTTAATAGGCTTTATAATGGCAAATATATATCAAGGCCTATGCTTTCCCACATATATTAAATATGTAGGTTACGTAGAGAGACTTTTGGCGTAACTATAAAAATTTAAGCGAAACAATATACTTTAGGTATTCCAATAGGAATCACACATCTTATTTATTAGTTTTTCATTAATAAGAGTCAAAAAATAAAAGGAATACATTAATTTGTTAAATTGTTGAACCCTTCGTTAACAGTAAGTATATAAATATCATTAATGTTCTTTAAATAAGTTTTTTCGCTTATCCGATTATAACAAGCCATTAAATACTCCGAACAAAAATTTACTGAACCTAATTAACTCTGTAGCGGATAACATTTTGTATTAATTAATTATTTTTATAATATATTATCTTTTAAATCACTTCATTTAATTAATTTTGTTGTAATTCCTGTAAGAGATTTACTTGGAAGAAACTGCTATACGTAGAGATAAAAAAATGAATATATTCATTCTATAATTTGCAATGAATTAATAAATAAATATCGTTTTATTGTAAAATACATTTGTTTTTTTAAGCTTTAGGCCTTTCGGTTGTATTAATGATTAAAACTATTTTAAAGTGAAATGAAATTATTTTTGATATCAATATTTATATGATTATAAGATGATATTTTTCTGCAGCTATATACATTTAATTTTTTTCAGTTTTAAAATTTATGGTTTGCACTATGACAAATAATTCGAGTGGAATTGAAAGCTCAAAAATGGAACAATTTTTTTTAATTTTAAAACATGAAATTACAATAGGTAAATATATATTTATATAATTAAAGAATGAAAATATATTAATGTGTTTTATATATATATATTATTATATTTTTAAAACTATAATACTTATATTGTAATTAAATCATAATTTCAAAATAGTCAAATTTTAAAGAATTATTTTATGAAAATAATAACTAGTCAATTATAGTTTCGTTAAAATGTGCTTATTATAGCTTCGATGCGAAGCTGAGAAGGTATTGGTTTTACTAAGATGTGTTTTTTTTTTTTGTGTCTATTAACACTTTTTCTCAGCTCTCACCGAACCGATTTCTTTCAACGGTACGTCAAAAGATCACAAATCGTATCTAGTCGAAGACATTACCCTCAAAAATTAAAAAAAATTCCCTCTTTCCCTGTAAATGTGGGAAATCTCCAAAAAAATTACTAATTTAAAAATCGCTAATTTTCGACATTTTTTTAATTTTTTTTTTTTAAAACTACCATAACTTTTTCAAAAATGAACAAATCAATATAATTTTTTTTTATAGATGTTTGATATTTTTACCTATCATTTGGTATAATTTTTTTATAAATTTAACCCTTTACCAGCCTACAGGAGAGGATTCAATATGACAACTTTTTCACAAAAAATTAATTTTATCAAATTGACTTTTGAAAATGTTCCGGAAAGTCTAACACTTATATATATATCTTAAATTAAAGCTAATGTAATATACTTTATCATGAAAAAAAAAAATTTCGGACTTTATTTTATCTTCACGGTGATTTTGTATTTTACATTTTTAACTTTATAATGCTATAACTTATTGAAAATTATATGGATCAACACAATTTTTTTATGAGAAATAATATTTTTTAATAATCTCTTTTTCATTCGACATACTTTATCTTAATCAGGATATTAATTAGGAACTAGCAGATCATGTAGCTTTTGGAATAATCCACCAATTTTCTAAAATTAAACACTATCTAAAGATTTGCATCGAAGTGTTTTTTTTTGATAGTGATTTTAATCAATGTGAGATATCATTATACTTGATCTAACTATACTACGTCACCACTGTGCCACGACCCCATCCCCCTCGTGCTGGTTTTTTTTTAAATACATAAAAAGTATTTAATACATGATATAAATAGTATTTGATGTTGATCATAACCTAACCTAAATCTATTTTGCACTACTTGTTCGTTTTGAGCGTTAAGATTTCTAAAGATCATAATTTATAGTCCAACCGTTTAATATTAACTACAAGCCAAATATTATTTTTTGATTTATTTTAAATAATAATCATTTAAAATAGTTTAAAATAATTTATATTTAGGTTAATTATTAAGGTATGATATAAAAATTCATTTGACATTATCAACATTTGTTTATGGGTATTATATTGGGAAGTCCGGACAAAGTAAATAATGTTAAGACCTAAAAATTAAATGTCGTTAATGAATTTTATAAACGTAGACTAAAAGTACAATATTATATCTATGTCAGCTCTCATTTACTTAGGAGTTGCATGTTATAATAACTTATAATCATTATTTTTCGTAAATATAACAGTATTGTAAAAATTTTCATAGTGAGAAAAATACTTAATTTTTCCAAAATCATTAATATAATTAAATTTTGAGTACAAAAAAGTAATCACAGTAATGTTAGTGACTTTATATAATCAATTGTATAAGTGTAATCGATATTAAAAAATTATTATTTGAGGGACTCATTACATACATTTATGTAATTTACCCTACTCTAATGTTTTTATATAATTATTATATAAGTAATTTTTCTGAAATTTTTGAGGGGCCATGGCCTCTTTAATGAAATAAGAATAACAATAAATATAACACTAATTGGTTAAGAAGTAATCATAATATATAAGTATAGCACAAATACATAATATGATATGATTAAATATTTTATCCCACTACTGAGAACAACCCCTTATAGGTGATAATTGGTTTATATTGGCTAAATAAAAAAAATGTTATTTTCAACTGAGATTAATTTAATTTATTATTCATTTTATTATTCTATTGTTACGAATTATATAATGGGTTTATGTTAACTGAATTAACTAATCTAAGTTTTTGAACGATATGAAGATATCGTGTGAATATTGCATCTATTGTGGTTTTTTAAAATGTGGTTTTGCACAACCAAAATTATTTAAAATTTAACATATTTTACATGACAATACTTTATTTTTCGAAAAACAGTGCATAATAAAGTATAAAATATACATTCAGTAATTTTATAAAATATTCTTTCCATTTTTTGTTACATAATCGTCGCTCATTAGCACTTTCCTATCGTCATTTTTTATACACCTTACATTGTTATATTCTTTAGATCGATATCTCATACTTTTGCATGCCTATAGACTACTTTTCACGTTCATTTGTTCCTAGACATCACACAATTCATTTTAATTCTTAAACTTTAGATTTATTATATATACTTTTTTATTATAATTAATATAATTATAAAAACAAATAGATTTAATTTACTTTATTTTCGAAAGTTAAAGCATTGTTATGTTAAGTATTATTTAATTTCATTAAGACATGTATGCATTTGTGCATTTTTGTTTGAGAATATATGTGGTTAAATTATTTATATGATTTTGTTGAGTTATTTAAACTTTCATGAAGTTAATTAAATTAAGAAATTATAATTTATATTTAGTAGTAATAAATTATTGTTATTAAGAGCTATATGTTAATTAAAAATTAAGATTTTAATATTAAAAATCAGGTTGTATGAATTTAAAAACCAAAATATTTATTACACTATTATTAAAATTGAAACCAATCGTGGAACGTAAACGTTTATCCAATGCACACATTTATCAAACGTACATGTTTATTGAACTTATAAGTTCATTGGACAATAAAATTTTTACTATATACTTAATAGAAAACAAGTGGAATGATTAGAGAAGATAGGATAAAGAACAAGCATATAAGAGGGAGTATAGGTGTAGCGTCAATCGTGGATAAGATAAGAGAAAATAGACTTAGATGGTTTGGTCATGTTATGAGGAGAGAAGAATTAGAAGCTGTAAGAACAGTTATAGAATTGAATGTTGAAGGAAGAAGAGGTAGAGGAAGACCAAAAAAGAGATGGAGGAATGCTATTGAATGTGATATGAAGACAGCTAATGTGAGCGTAGATAATGTAGGAGTTCGTGTCAAGTGGAAGTTTAGGATAAGAGTCACCGACCCCAAGTAGTTGGGATTAAGGCGAGGAAAAAAAGAAGAAGAAGAAGACTTAATAGAAAACAATAGAATCCAATTATCGCGCATCATAGTCGGCCATCAATTTTAGTCATCATGTTTTATTAAGCATACAATAAAATTGCTATTGTTCCGCGAACGTAAACGTTTGTCAAATGTTTTCTATTGTTCTATTGGGTATACGGTCAAAATTTTATTATCCGACGAACGTAAAATTGAATAGAATTGTGACCTTATACCTAATAAAGTAATAGAATCCGTTTGACGCAAAAGAAACGCCTTTAACGACCGAATATGCGTGATAATCTTTCTTTTTTTTCGGATCCTATGTAAAGAAATTTGATTTGAAATTATTATAACATTTTTATCCTTGTATAGTTAAAAAATATTTTTGCTTTCATTATTATGTTGTTTTATAAAACAACTGTAGAATAACCAGCATTACTCAAATTATTCAATGTAAATTATGTAAACTAATATGCAATAATATTGTATAAAATTAGTGCAATGGTGAGAACTCAAAAAAATTTGATAAATTGTTAAATTTTGAATAGAAATTACTGAGAAAACTATTATTCACCTTTTGATGATGATTCATATTTTAGAATTACAAATTTTTTTTTTAGAAAATAAAAAAACTGTACGAATGCTGCTAAATATTTTATATTATTTTAATTAAACATCTTTTGATAAAAAATTGTTAATACATGAATTATTCATATAACACATTAACTACTAATATGTGTTATTTGAATAAAATTTCTTAAAACCACCCGCTGCATTATTTTATTTATCATTTATCAGAAATATAAAATTTAACTATCCATAACTCTAATAGAACATTTTACATGCCATAATTTGTACAGTAAAAAGTTCTAATTAAAATTAGTTTTTGTTCTTAAAATAATAATAAATAATTTATTACAAAAAATACTTAAATTTAAAAATGAATTAAAATTACTCAAAGGTCTATAATATTAAAAATTGTTATCAACTATTGCCTTATATTCTATAATTTATTTAAGCATAAATAATGCTTGAAAATTATTTATATTTTAACAAATCAATTATAAATGTTGTAAGAAGTAGAGCCTCAAACTTAATATTAAAAATTGCTTTTGAGTATTTAGTGTGCAATTTGAATATTTAATATAAAAATAAATTTAATATTAATTGATACTACACAATTTTCTTTTTCAATGGAAAGAAAAAAATTTACAGAATATGCAAAACATTATTTATCCTTTATAGTGGAATATTAAAAAACATTATACAGAAATTATATGAAATTATTTCATTTTTGTAATTTGCGTTAGTAGTAAAAATAAAAATTACAAATTTCGAATTGCTTCATGTTAATAATAATAAATATAAGCGCTTGAGTTTAATAAAGAGACGCATATATTTATTTAAATGGACAATTTTCATCCAAAATAATTTGTTATTATAAATATTACTTATTTAAAAATTTGCATAATTAAAAATTTACGGTATTTTGACATAGTATAAAATATTACTAAAATCAAAATAGAAATAAAAAATCAATAGTCAGTCAACAACAACAACTCAAAGATATTTTAATCACTTCACTTTCCCTAAATTTAATTATCATTTACCAATGCTAAATTAATACTAATGGGATCTTATAAAATGATTAGATTTACTATTTGTAATTTATGTTCTTAACAACTTAAAATTATTATGGTGGATAATATGAAAAGAATGTATATGTAACCGCAGTTCACTTAACAAATTTAATATAAATATATTAAATGAAATCT